ATAGATGATGATGATGATGATGATGACGATAATGATGGAGTATATGTGATGACGACGATGATGATGAATGATGATAAATAATGAATGATGACGATAATGATGGCATATATGTGATGACGATGATGATGAATGATGATAAATAATGAAAGATGATGATAATGATGGTGATGATGAATAATGGGGATGATTGATGCTGCTGAATGATCCCCAGTTATTATAAGACAATTCATCATCACTACACACACACTTAGTTTGATTTACAGGGGTGAGGTTAGGTTAGGTTTCATTTCACCCCACATTATGGCTTCGTCCCAGTGCAATAATAACCTACCTCAAAGTTCCTCATTTACTATTTATGAATGTTCAGTCATACTAATTCCCTCAGTAGCAAACCTCTGGATGAAAGGCTAAATATAAAATAATAATACACGCGTAGATGATAGTGGCGTAGTTACCAGGGGCGTATCCAAAGGCCGAGTATTTTTGTTTACCATATATAAGAACACCTGATATCGGGACACAAGCCATCTGGGTGGTTAGTTTATCCAATGTTGGTGCAGGTGAAAACCGGAAATCGTGCTACGTCAGACATACATTTAAACCAGAGGCGATTCGAACCCTGGACTTATGGGAGAGAAATACCCACGTTACGATATACAACCCAAGATCCAAGTGAACCCCTGCTCTTGGTTCGTCTCCTCCCTGGCTGGATTTTCTCCTGAAGTGATTGCCCTCGGTGGACCGCTCCCGAAATCCTACGTGAACCCTGTTATTCTCTGCAAATACCACCTCTCCAGGATCGCCCACTGGTCCCCAGGTAGGGTCGTCCTCTACACTGATGGTTCTGTTGACCCCGCTATAGGTTGGGCCGGGGCTGGTGTCTACACCTCCCGTCCTGATGCCCCTGAGCCTATCAAACTGTCTCTCAGAGTTTCTGACGGGGCATCCTCCACTCAGGCGGAACTAATAGCCCTCCTTGCTGCCCTTCTCGCTGAGGAAGAAGCAGATGGTTTCTGCCCCTTGCTTGTCTGCTGCGATTCCAGGTCTGCTCTCGACGGGATCGCATTTGGATCAGGGGAAAATAAGGACCTCATCCTCCGAATACGAGGGTTAACATCCACACTTCAGGATGCAGGCCGTCCTGTGACATTCCTATGGATACCCAGTCATGTCGGTATCTTGGGGAATGAGGCAGCAGATGGCCTTGCCAAGACTGGCTGCAACAAGGCCACACCTGACTACGTTGTTCCTCGAACACTTTTACAGATTAGGACCCAAATTCGCCGCAAACAGAGAGAAGCTCGGGAAGCAGCCATCCCCCTGGACTCCCCGCCCACCTGGTACGATGTCCTCCGTAAACTTCCTGACCTCTCGTATGTCTACGGGAAAGGGTCGCGGAAAGGGGACGTGATTGCTGCCCGTATCATCATTGGGTATGACTTTGCTTGGGAGATTGGTATCCCCGCATCCCCTGAGCAACGCTCTTGTGCATTATGCAGAAGACCCGACAGCCGCACCCTTATCCACTACCTCCTAAGATGTCCCCACACACAACGCTTCCGTGACGCCTGCTGGACCACCACTCCACGACCCCCTGACGGAGACACGATGATCATCCCCATACTGGCCAGATATTTTGTAAATAACATTGATTATGTGTTAAAGGAGTGTCCTTCCTTCCTTAGGCTTTAGTAAGCCCCTTTATAATATTTATACTGTATATACTTGTGACACTTGCCAGATGCTTCTGGTGTTATTGAACAGGGATACCTAGTGACGGCACTAGGATCCCGCTTCCTCTATCAAGGAATAAACAATTGAAATTGAATTGATTCAAGTGACGCAGCATATGGGCCCCGGTGGCGATACCTACCACTCTTACCCTAACAAAAACTTCAACTGAACAAGGTGTTTAACGTGACATAACCAGGCCGATAACCCTCATGTATGCATGTATGTATGTATGTATGTATGAGTGTATGTATGATTTTTACTCAATAAATTCATACAAAATCAAGGTCCCAGTACAGGTGGATAGGTACCCAGCACTGCAACAACAATATACCGATACTAATTCTAAGATTTTATTCATATGTCCACATATTAGCTTAGGTTAGTAGCCATCTTAATAGCAGTATTATCTGTCTATCCACATGCTAACTTTGGTTAATAGCCATCTTAATAGCAGCACTATCTATCTAGCCACATACTAGCTTAGGTTAATAGCCATCCTAATAGCAGTATTTTCTGTCCGAGCCACGGCATCCACAACTCCAGTACACACGGCGGAGAGCTACCCTACCGCCTCCTCCTCCCTGGACCCCACAGTACAACAACACAACTTGTTATCACCTTACCTTCACTCAACTGCTAATAACCACAGCGTAGAGTCCTGGAACTGTCCACCGCCTCACGCTGAAGTCCACCAAGATGAGGATGTAAATCTGTCCATCACTCACCCTTGGATTCACTGTCCACCGCCTCGTAGTGAATCAGGAGGCTGAGGTGGAACTGGGTCCCTCCGTTGATGAGGACCCCCAAAGGTGTAGAGGTACTCTTCCCGTCACTCACCCTTGGGTGTGCAGTCCACCGCCTCGTACTGAATCAGCTGGCTGATGTGGAACTGGGTTTGCTGACCACAGTATTCGCCGCCACCCTCTCAAGGGTTCGGGGATCACTGTGAGAGGCCACAGGGGTGCAGGTAGAACTCGCCCTCCGTCGCTGGTTCTGGCAAACATCACAAGTCCTCTTCTGTTTCTTTATTTTCCACCTTTAACTTCACATTCAAAATTTCTTAGAGTCCCCTCAAATGTACTAGTAATCATTTCGTAGTACAATATATGCGTTTGCACAAACTGCTGACAAGAGTGCAATTATCCGCGGTCTGTGTCCCTGTTCGGGCTCCAATTGTCATGGTTTTAGTATGAATCGGTGGTAGTAGGAGTGGATTATATTATATAAAGATAATAATATGTCGTATTTCTTATTTCTTACCGTAGAGTTCGATACCTTCACACTGGTTACTTACAGGAGATTATGGCGTATCTACGTAGAAGTTCACTCCACCACTCGACATTCCATGATTTATACTTGATAAATGATGATTTAATGAATTCATTTAATTTTCAACATCCATCTAAGTTATTGGTTATACTATGTCATAACCAATCAGTCATTACCTTTAGTAATAATAAGATAGGATCACAGATACGGGCAGATAATTGCACTTACATTTATTTGTCAAGCTTCCATACAATGATTTACAATTTGCATGGATATATGATTTACTCACGTTCACGCTGTAATAAAATTAATCTTCTAAAACAGGGAATTTCCAACTTGGGGACACATGTGATTACTCTACTGTGGTATGACTTAACAGAGCCTTAATTCTTCAAGTGATACATTTACTGCCAGCCTGGATTGCTTTTGTTGCAACCAGGCTTCATCACAAGAACTTCTTCCCACGGCCATAACAACAAAAAGGTACTCTTGGGTTACCACACATAGTCTCGCGTCACTGACAGTCACTGGACGGTTGTCGCGGCAAGTAGAACTGGTAAGCGTGACTTGAATTAACCATTAGGTGCAATAGACCAGCCTGGATTGCTTTTGTCGCAACCAGGCTTCCACACGTGATATTTCCACGGGGATAACAAACCTAGGTTAACACACTTAGTCTCGTGTCGATCACGGTCACTGTAGACGGGTGTCGTGCAGGAGAACTCTGTAAGCGTGAATTAATTAACCATTTACTGTAGGTTTGATAGGCCAGCCTGGATTGCTCTTGTCGCAACCAGGCATCCACACGTGATATTTCCACGGGGATAACAACCTAGGTTAAAACCCTTAGTCTTGTGTCGACGACGGTTCACAGGATGGAGTGGCGGTGGAGGACTCTGTGTGGTGTGGTGTCCCGCCCCCTTTCAGGAGGGAGAGGATGGAGACGACGTCTTAACTAACCCATGGCTCAGGGGGTACTACTTAAAATGAGGTTTTTGGGTGTGAAGCGATGAACAGTACAACACTGTTTCACTGCCCACCCCCCTAAAGGCTGGCTGACATACACTAATTGAAAAATACATGTCCCAGTTATGCCTCGCCGGGCGTCTTATCTCTGGTAAAACAAGCTTTGGAGTTGGTTGCGTGGGTAAGCCTAACGCAACCCATGACAACTATTATTATTATTACTATTATTATTATTATAAATATTATTATTATTATTATTATTATTATTATTATTATTATTATTATTTGGGGTTTTAGGCCGTGAGACGTGAGTTAATGTTCGACTGATGACTCGCTCTTTGCTCATGAAAAATATCAAAATCATCAAATATTAATTTATTTTTCTTTCTAGGGTGTGTAGATGGGAGGAAGGGTGTGGGGTTGGAGGTAGGGTGTGTGGATGGGAGGTACAGTAGGGTGTGGGGATGGGAGGAGGGGGTGGGTGGAAGGGTGGGTGGATGGGAGGGAGAGTGTGTGGATGCGGGGAAGGGTTTGTTATTTATTTTAGATTGTTTGGCTCTCTGAGGCTGGCTTGAGGTTTACGGCTGACTAGCTGAAGTGAACGGCTGGCTGGTTTAGGTGAATGACTAACTGGCTGAGGTGAATGGCTGGCTGGGCTGAGGCAAATATCTGGCTGGCCAAGAACCCCACCAAACAGATCCTTAATGCCAGACAGGCTGCATGTCGTCATTGGCAAGTACTGGGCAGAAACTGGCTCCAGAATGTATCTGCACCTGCGCCAGTGTTGGTCAAGTCTGGTCTTGAATGAGCTCACTCTCGGTGCTGTCACACTCTCTGGCAGAGTGTGCCAAGAGTTTACAAACTCAGAAAAAGTTTACAAACTCAGAAAAAGCTTGCCTTGACAATTTTCCGAACTTGTGGCTTCTTCAACCATAAGCTGTGACCACCCGCCCTGCTAGGCTAGTGGGGCACGTCCCCCAGCTCCAGGTATGAACCCTCGACTGAGTAATGCCCTCTGAGTTGTTTATAAACTTCAATTAAGTCGCCCCTTGACCACCTGTAGTATAAGCTACGCAATTCCTGTCGGGGGAGGGATATAAATTTGCCCCACTTAAGAGTTGTTTTTAAATATGAAGCACTTTAATCTCCACTATGTGGAGATTAAAGATTCACATGGTATATTGTGCGTGTAAACTGAGAATATGAACAAGTACTGTGTGTACTTGTCCTCTACATCGCCCCGCACTTCGCGAGACACCTGAAGACGGAATGGTGGAAGAGGGGACGAAGTACAGTATGCTAAACAGTGAAAAAATAGGGACAAGATTTTCAAGTTTCTTTAGTAGTTAATTAAAACCCATTTTTACGTCTTCACCCATTAAAAAAATGGCCGCCACTGAGAGGTATAATAATCCTACTACTGTACTGTGCTCACCTGATCAGTGCACCAGTACCAGACCTGTATGGACGCCATGCCAAAGGTCATCCCAACCCAGGGATATTCACTCTTGGAGGGGTCCAGTGTCCTCAGTAGACTCATGTAGTCAGGGGGAACCTCGCCACAGGACTTGTTATTGACGCCCATGGCCCTGATGGAGGCCTTGGCGTATGGAAAACGTTCTACTAAGCTGTAGTAGCCGCCCACCGCGTGAAAAGCTGCATCAGGCGAAAGTATCACTAAGTGCTTGCTGCTAAGTTACTTATATATGCCAAACAGCTCGATAGTATGAGCAGTATGTCAAGGAATAAAAGTTTAATACGCTGATATGCCACAGGGATGATCTAATTAAAGTAATTCACACAATACCATTAACTCACATTTAACCATGAGGACTAAGGATCCCATCACCATAAGTACCATCTGCACCAGATCAGTGTAGACGACAGTGGTGAGGCCGCCCACAATGGTGAACACTGCCGCCACCCCCAGCAGGAAGAATACGCTGATGTACAACCACTCGTCTGAACTCTTGTTGAGAGCCAGCTGGATAAACAGCGCCCCGGCGTATAGGTCAGCCTATAGCCATGACAAAATATAATATATAGGTAAGTCTTGTTATGGTAAAATATACATAACAGCCATGCCCCCCCCCCCTCCTACATATATACAGTATGTATTTATATATAATCTCTGTGAGCGTTAGTTAACTTACTGCAATCTTGGTGAAAATGTAGAGTGTGAGAGAGAGGCAGGAGAGGTAGACCCGGATTCTTTGGCCGCCAAACCTCAGCCTGAGGTACTCTGGCATGGTATACACGCCACTGCTCATGTATACGGGCACGAACAACCACCCTAACATCAGCAACCCGTAGATAGCCTGCAAGTTGACAAGAGAGCGTAGCTACAGGAGACCTCTCAGGTACGAGAACCATCTCAGCAACAGTAACTCGCAGTAACTACAGGATAGAAACTACTTGTCTAATAATTATCACCTCTAACTTAACTTACCGCTTGTTCGTAGCCGTGTGCTGCAAGACCAGAAGCTGCTCCTGCTCCTGCCAGCCCGATAAAATGACCCGAACCGATGTTGCTGGCGAACAGTGAAGCGCCCACCTGAAAGAAGGATTACAGGTTACTCCTATAAGAAATAGCGCCACCCTATATGACAACATCATGAACGGGGGAGCAACCTTAATAGGCCGAGCTGTAAAAGGTTTTATTAGAGCTAATCCAACATATATTTAACTTTCCGAGTGTGCAAAGTTTTGTTGAAATTATTTCAGTACATAATTTTCTGAATAACTTATTGAAATACATATATCAATAGAACACCAAATTACTCGCAAAATGTGTCATCTTACTAGAAAGAAACGGGAGGCTGGTTAGTTTAAAGACACAGAAGGTCCAATGAGTACAAGGTTTGCTTATCAGCGTATGAAACACCTCTTTTGCACTGGGCAATTATTGACATAGTTCAATGAGGATTTGCAATGTACCCTGCACTGCACTTGACGCCTTCACTTCCTCAACTGTGAAGTTTGGTACCTACTCTCAGGTATTGTATGCATTCCACTGCCTCATATAGCTTGAAATAATTGGTATAAGTGTGACCTCACCTCTGTATTTAATTTTCATTGGGTCACACATGATGGCAAAAGGCAAGAAAACATTTAACACGTTTTTATGTGGTCACTGTCTCCATGAACCATTTAAAACATGCGCTGCGATGTCAGTATTCCCACCCTAAGCGCAGTCCCACACTTGGGCGTGAGCAAAGCTTATACTCATTGGATCTTGGACACACATGATTTACACAACATACTTACAGGTATCCAGTGTAAGTTGCGGGAGGCGAGGAAGTAACTGGAGATGCTGTCTTTCTTATTCTTTCTCGACGACTGTTGGAGAAATATCTGTTTGTTTACTCTTTTGCTGGTGAATTATGAAGGATTTTACTTGTTTTGCCAAATTTTGTTTTATAACTTTCCTAATTACCAGGAGGCTAAACTTTCTCCACCACTACCGTGAAAGTAGGACTTCACTGTTGTGAAAGTTGAGCTTTTTCCACCTCTGTTGTGGAGTTACTGTAGCTCTTGCTCCACCAGTGTTATCCAGGCAAACCTTTTACCATTCACGAGGAAGTTAAATAAGAAACTTAAAAACAGATCATAATTAATAAAGTAGCAAGATAAAAATAAGTATTAAAATAATAATAAATAACACTTCACTGTTCGTGGTAAAATAGTTTATCTCACTAGTGTTAAGCTTAACCATCCTCATGATCTACTATACTTACCCACATAATCGGTTCAGAACTGTATAGTACGTCCTTGGATATGCAGTATTAGTAAACCCGAAAACATGCCTTAGTAGACGCCTCACTAATAAGTACAGTAATATCCACTTGTAAAGGTATAATAAATAAGTACAATTCTGAAAATACATTAAACATGAATTATCTAACTTAACCAAAGCTAAATACATCTAAACTAACGAAGGGGTGTTTGCTCTTTGTGTCGAGTATGTACAGTATGGTGTCGGAGTACTTATACACTAAGGTCGGTTTTGTACATTCTATTTGTAAAGGCAGGCTGTGGAACGGACGTTATCCCACAATTTGCCCCTCACCTTGGCAACAAAATGTTTTAACAGCTGCCTTAGGTCTACCGGGGAAGTATAAACTTAAACTGAATTAATTTTCAGTTGTAGAAGTTCAATACCGGTAAATTAACGTCCATTGTTATTAAAATAGATTAAATTGAAACAGCTGCAAGTATTGTAACAGTTTAAGAAAAAGGGACATTTACTAAGCCTGCTGTTTAAAAAGATAGACATTTGGCCTTATGATATTTATGTATGTACAGGTACACGTAAAGTTTTTGCAAATATTTAAAAAAGAACTATCGAATATAGATATTTTGGTGGCTTTAAGATTTGTTATTCAGTCTAGAGGGGTTACCTGCGCATCCGCTTATGAAAAGTTTCCTTGAGTCTGACCTCGACTTCCCTTCTCAAGGTTACTGTACCTCGCCTCCAAAGCTGTGCTGGAGCGCACCAAACCCTAACATATTCTGTCTTTCTTTCTTTTTTCAGTAAACCCATTCTGGTAAGTAACCCCTTCGACGGTATGTTGATTCAGGCAAGTATAATATACCATACAGAGTTGTTCCCTGTTGTTTGCTTGACAAAACATAAAACTTATTAGTGCATTTATATTCTACCATTTCGTGAGTCGGTAACCGTAGAGCGTGGTAACACAGGTGACAAAAATAAACAAAAAAAAGTATGAAGTGGCCTTATAACGGTGGTGTGGGACTGGTGAGGTCCACCACCATCGACTTCCCTCCCACACCCTTCCCACATTCCGTATACACTTCACGCCTCGGCATTCACCAATTTCGCTACGCTGTTACAGGAACTAGCAGACGACTCGTATAATCACTAAAATGCTGGTTCGACGACGTACTATATTACTAGTAACTAAATTCGAATCTACATGGAAATATTAATTTATCTTTTGTTTTAAAGGTGTTTGTAATTCAGCGTCAGAGCGTAGGTGTTTTCAGTCTGGGGCAGAAGCTCAAGGGAACTTAACATAATGCACTATGCATGGAATATGTTTATATATATATATATATATATATATATATATATATATATATATATATATATATATATATATATATATATATATATATATATACAGAGGCTTGTTGCAATAAACACACGAAACATCTGTCCAACTCTTCTACTTTTGAATTATTTACTAAGGTAATTTTGTAGTTTAATGCTTTGGAGTTTTTTATGATCCTAAATTACAGTATTTATTCAGGCATTTTACAGTTAGGAATTTATCTCGTACTAATGAACTTTTTGTTATATTACGATCACTAGCGATGGTTTTGCACTATTTAATATCTTCTGTATTAACTTCTTGCCTTTGGATCAAGGTTCTTGATAGACCGACTTAAACATGGGTTTTCGGTTTTGTGACTTGTATTTTTACTCTACAATGAAAACATTATTCGATGTTTGTAATAAAAAATTATACGAGTTTCTCAAGATTAGAAAAAACCTCATTATTTATCGCGAAAACAGCAGTAAACCTAACATTAAAAAAAATATTTCAGCTAAACATTTCTTTTTTACGAATACTGTAAGTGTATATCATTGATCTAACAGCAGTCTTACGGGATATTTGAAGGTCAGCTTAAACTCTTAAATGTTTCTGGTTTTACCTTTTGATGAATAAGGGATGTTTTTTTTTTTGTGTATTCCTCTTCTTATCTATGTTGCCAAAAGTACTTACCCAGATTCCGACAATCAGCACACAAAGGAAATAGACAGTGATGACCACGAAGTCAGGCCAAGTTAGGCGAGACCCACCCACCCCATCCACCTCCGCCATAGTGTCACCAACAACAAAGCTACTAGAGTGTCCTTCCAACAACAACTCTTCCCCACTCGTGTCCGCAGCAGAGTGACGGCCCAGACCTGATGCCCGTGGACCTGCAACTACAATTCATGCATCCACCAACACGCCGTGTGGGAACAGGTTCCTGCATTTCAAGGCTAGAAGGGCTTGCACTTTGTTAGGGGGTATAAATGTAAAGATGTTGTAGCATAGGCTATGTAGGAGATCTCGCACTAAGGATGGAGGTGAGAAGGGAACTCACCATGGCGTTATATATATATATATATATATATATATATATATATATATATATATATATATATATATATATATATATATATATATATATATATATATATATATGCTGATAACTACAAGGAAAAAGAAAACACGAAGTTCCCAAGCGCTTTCGTGTAATTCACATCTTCAGGGGTGAGTACAGACTAAGGAGAAGTACATAACAAGGTATATATATACAGAGGAGGGTGAGATCAGGTCCACAATGGTCAGGTATTAGGTAATGACCCTACTAATCTTCAAAAAACACCGCAGCAGTCGGTACTCAGGTCAGAGGGTAAGATAACCCAACCTTCTCACCTGGTTACAAATCTTCTTAATTACGAAATTATCCAGTTTGTACATACCATTACTCAAATTCATGTTGACGGATTCGGTATGTTTAATGAGACTGGATTCGATAATGTTCCTACTGTCAATTGAATTACAAGGTAATATTGAGGAGGCATTATCCCAGTCAATGCAATGCTTATTATCCCTCAAATGAACAAACAGAGCATTGGATTCCTGGCCTGTCCTAACACTATATTTATGTTGTTTAAGTCTAGTTACAAGATCTTTACGTGCCTGGCCTAAGTAAAACATATTACATTCCTTGCAAGGAACCTTATAAATGCAGCCACCTGTATTGTGGGGAGTTCTTGATTAATATATATATATATATATATATATATATATATATATATATATATATATATATATATATATATATATATATATATATATATATATATATATATATATATATATATATATATATATGTTAGGTGATCAGAGTAACGTTTTACCAAATTCGGCTTCGAGGTTCACGGTGCCATAAGCTCGTTGAACAGGCTTTGTGTGAAATATAACAGAGTCTAGAACTGCTTTCAGTATCCTGGTGGCCCAGAGGTAACGCTCCCTGGTCACAGGCATAAGATCGTGGGTTCGAATCCTGCAGGGTGAGGTGTTGATTATCAATATGTAGAAGTCTGCATGCTTTATTGGGCTAATGAAATATATATATGTATAACAAGTGATCGCGGGCTCTTCGTGCCCTTGTGAAAGTTTGAACGCTCGTGACAGCATACAGCGAATGAGGGTGCGCCAAGTCCGTAGACTTGCATGGTTAATTAAGGTGCGCCAAGCCTGTAGACTTCCATCGTAAATAAAATTGTTAATTAATGCCTTCCTAAAGAAACCATCGACATAGGACCAGGTTTGTTCCACTCTACGAATTTTTTGCGATTTTTCCACCAAGTTTGATGAAAAATGATTGTGCCGTTTCGGCTGCCCAGAACAGACAGACAGACACACGGCTAGTCCTATAGTATATTAGATATGTACAATGCAATACTAGGGAGTTGAGAGAAGTTCTTGTCTGTTTGAGAGCATTGAGTAGAATCCTTTTCACGGTTGTTTGTTGTTGTTGTTGAGATTGTCGGACCGTAGTCCGACACGGGCCTTTGCCTATAGGCGGCCCGTTTGGTGGTTCCGGCTGGAGCTCCAGGAGCAGCCAGACCGGATTGGGATTAGAGGTGGTCCCACCTGCAGATTGGAAGGATACTGCAGGTTGCAAGTGTGAGCGGACCCCCGATCAGTGGACGCTTACCACCAACCCCCACTCTTGGACGTGGTCAGTTTCGGAGTGGCGCGCCCCCCGAACTGGGGTCCGCACTTGCTGGGAGAGGATGCTTTCTAAGCTATCTGGGTGGTGGGTATCGTGTGATGACCCGGAGTAGGTGGTGAATGTGGTCTGTATGGGCCTTTCGGGTTAGAGTGGCCGCTGGTGTTGTGTGTGTTTCTTGGGAGATTTGAGTTCTGTTTCGGAGGCTTTGTGTGACCTCGCAGTCGAGGAGATAGTGTTCAAGTGGGTTGGCTGCTGGCTCCTGACAGTAGGTGCAATCCATGACGTCATTTCCGATCATCTGCCAGGAGCACTTGTACCCTAGTCGTAGTCGATGAAGGCTGACTTGGGTTTGTCTTGGAGTTTTCTTGTCAGCGAAAGGTGGTTCCCCTTTTGTGGCCGCCAGGTACCATTTGGCTGATTGGGAACCAGCGTTGAGTGCATGAAGGAAGCTCTTTTTGATGTGGAGCTTGCTAGTCTTTCTGAGGTGATTCTTGATCTGTTGCACACTTGCTGGAACTTGGATGTGTACGCTACTAGAACGTGTGGCTGCCTTGGCTGCTTCGTCTGCCACGTCGTTTCCTCCGATCCCTACATGACTGGGAATCCAGTGTAAGACGACTGGTCGGTTTTGGCTTTGGAATTCCTGTAGCTGTGCGAGGATCGAGGTGATGATGTGGACGTTGTCTCTTGGTTGACTGTGTTGCAGCGCCTGCATGGCCGATTTCGAGTCCGTGTGAATTATGATGGACTTGTTGTGTTGTGTTGCAGCGTGTTGTAGGGCCTTTGAGATTGCTACCAGTTCTGTTTGTAGGGTGGAGCAGTCATTGGAAAGTCTCCATTGGAGGGTCTGACCTTGGGTGTAGATCCGCTCCGGTGTCTCGGTGGCTATGGCTTCGAGAGTTATTTTTTTGAGGTCCTCCTTCTGGAGGTTGGCTTTACTATCGCCTAGGTCGGTAAATTTGAGTGTGGCTGGTGGAGGGCTCCATGGTGGAGGAACAGCGTAACCATTGTCTCGTGTGTCTTGGTTGTTCTTGACGAGTGTTTCTGCTTGCAGGTGTCGGATGACCTCGCTTGCCTCGTGCGACCAGGTGGCCCCTCGCACTCTGTGGTCGAGGTGGAGGGAGGCACTGATTCGAATCTTGGCAACTGTGGGCTTGTCTGCTCTACAGATTTTGGCGAGGAGACCGGCTGTCACCTGCTTGACTCGTACTGCCAGGGGTGGTAGTTCGGTTTCCATTTGCAGATTGCAAATTCTGGTCCACATGGGTGCTCCGAGCATGGTCCTGAGAGCATTGTTTTGGATGACTTCTAGCTTAGCTATTTGGTCTTCTCTCAGTCCAATGAGTGCTGGAGCACTGTAATCTACCAGCGATCTGATGGCGGCCGTGTAGTAGGCTTTGAGCACATGAAGGTTTGCTCCTGCGGTTGTGCTGGTGAGCGACCTCATTATATTGTGTCTGCTCTTCGTCCTGTGCCTGAGATACTCGAGTTGCGGCTTGAAGGTGAGTTTCTGGTCAAACCAGATTCCAAGACACTGGTGGGCGTTGGTCCAGACTACCGGCGTGTTTTGTATGGAGAGCATCTTGTCTGGTGTGTCTGTGCAGATGGCCATCGCTTTCGACTTGGCTGGATTTATCTTGAGTCCAAGTCTGTTGCACTCCTCTTCTATAAGTTGGAGTGCGTGTTGCGTGTTGGCTAGTCTGTTCGATCCTCTTACTATAAGCTGTAAGTCGTCTGCATAGCATAGGAGCTTGGCTGTTTGTCTGAAGGGAAGTTTGACTAGATTTTCCATCAGGACATTGAACAGCATTGGACTGAGGATGCCTCCTTGTGGGGTTCCGTTTTCGTGGACCCTGTAGCTTGAGGTTGCTCCCTGAAAGCGTACTCGTGCTTCTCTCTGTGTGAGGTAGTTCTGGATCCACCCCAGCAACCTTCCTTTGACGCCTTTTTTAGCGAGCGTAGTTGTAATGGCCACTGGATTTGCTAGTTCGAAGGCTTTCTCCAGGTCGAGGAAGACCACCAGAGCTGGTTTGTTGTCCACTGTGCTGAGTATCTCGGCGATGTTGTTGCCTGTGCCGGTGTTCTCGGTGTAAGCAAAGATGTGAGGGTGTGGGCTGCCTACTTTCCACTTGAGTCTGTTGAGAGCCATTCTTTCTCCCGTCTTCGCTATGCAGCTGAGAAGGGAGATGGGCCTCGGTTTGTCTGGTTCTCTGGGCTTCGGAATGGGCTGTATATCTGCCTTCTTCCATTCCGGTGGGAGTCTTTGTGCTATCCACGAAGCATTGATGGCTTGCAGCAGAGCCTCGTGTCCGGCTGTACCGGCATGAGAAAGCATGGAGTAGGTTATCCTGTCGGCCCCTGGAGCTGTGTCCTTGCTTCGTTTTAGCGACTTCTGGAGTTCTTGCTGGTTGAATGGTCTGTCAGTGTCATCTTCACTGTTGCAGGCCTCTTCGATCATCTGGAGTCTGACCTGTCGCAGACGCCGTTGTGTCTCCTCCGCCTGTCTCGGGAGGTTTTTCGTTGCTGCTCGGTCAGAGAACAGTTTTGCAAGTCTCTCGGCTTCCTCTTCTGGGTTGGGATGGGTTGGTGGTGGTGGTGTTGCCTTCCCAGATGCCCTTCGGATCTGGGCCCACATCTTGCCAAGGGAGGTGTGCTCGTTCAGTTTGGAGCACCACTTGAGCCAGCTTGCGTTTTTTATTTCTTCCTTCTCTTCCCTGGTATCCTTAACTATGACTTGCAGGAGATGTCTGTTTGTTTCCGTGGGATGTCTCCTGTAGTTTCTTCGGGCCATGTTCACTCTGTGGTTGAGTTCTTTCACCCTGGGACAGTAGTACCAGTAATCATTGTACTGTCTTGATGTGGGTTTTGTTTTTGGGATAGCCTCTTCTTCCGCTTGGTGAAACGCCTCGACCAATTGGTGGTGGAGGGTTGTCTCATCCACGGGTGCTGCGCCGGCCGGCTGTGATTTTTCGCGCCACTTGGCCAGGTGTTTCTTAAAGAGTCCCCAGTCTGCCTTTTGGGTATTGTATCTCCATCTCGGGGAAGGTGGAGTGGGGAGTTTGTTCACCTTCAGCGTTGTTAGGGTGGCGAAGTGGTCGCTGGTCAGCGTGGGGTGTATCTGCCAGGAGGCCGAAGGCTGTAGTGCACTGGAGACGAAGGTTAGATCTAGCCTTCCTCCCCTAGTGTGGGTGGGCTCTCCGGTGTTCAGGAGG